GGATCGCCCCGCCTCAGATGAAGACTTGCCGGACATTCACCATCAAGGTGGGGCAATGCAGTCAGCTCACGATCAGCTGGTCGACTGAATCGAAACGAGAAGAGCGGTTCTCAAGGGCTTCATGTGATATTAGTTCTGATTTTGTGGTCACTTCCACCCGTTGCAGGACTGGAAAGCAGGCCAGACTGTGCTCGCGCCGACGTTCAACCACCAGCACGTCCTCATCTCAGGAAATCAGTCCGCTGTCGGCGTCATCTACATGTATCACATCGCCGCGCAGTCTCTGATGACCACATTTAATGGTGAGTGCTCGAAGATGCGAGCTTTCAAGGCCATATCTGCCCCTCAATTGAGCGCAGTCCCAATTTTCGACTATCAGCTTACCGAAACAGTAGCTGTTTCCTCATAGCTGCTCGGGTACCCGACACGAAGCCTGTCGCGTAGCGAGAAGGCAGAGACGCAGACGGGTCAGCGAACGAGTTGCAGCGCGAATTGTACGATGTGGGACATACTATAGTACATTCTATTTAACTTGACGCCAAATTGTTACAGTACGCGCTGCGACTCGTCCGCTGACCCGTCTGCGTCTCTGCCTTTTCGCCGCACGACAGACCTCCTGTCGTGTACCCTCGTTTCTCCATCATTTCTGCTGTTTCGTAAGAAGATATTGCTGGTCCTTGAGAACATATCGCCCAATTTCCGGCGGAGTCGTCCTACCCCGAGTTTCAGGCTGGTCCCGCCACCTCCCCCCCCCCAAAGCTGATGTTATTTAGAGTTCTAATAGTAGAACACCAATTTGCAAATTTACAGGTCACACCGGAAACGTGACTTCCCTGTCGTGCAGTACCAGCGGCACGTTTTTCGTCAGCACTTCCACCGACAAGTCTGTTCGGATATGGAGCCTCATCAGCGTGAGTTCAGAAGTCTGATTCTCTGATAAGATCGCCTCGACTTATTCGGTGCACTCTCTGACTGAGCGCAATTGGGGCGTGATGGGAGACTTTTCTTCACTGGGATGGTTTTCAGGGCGAATGCATGAAGATGCTCACACCGCACTCGCACAAAATCATCTGCTGTGTGCTGGCCAGCGACGACACGTTTCTGGTGACCGGTTCGGCCGACTCCTCAGCC